GACATTTTATTCAGTTTCAATTTATATTTTCATAAGTTTCTTGAACAATTACATTCATTTTAATTGGCACAAAGGTAATGCCATAGGACAAGCGGTTTGGAGAAATGGATGGATCCATTAAGCCAATATACACAGCTTCATTTGGACAACACAGAGAAATAAATAGCTTAAACGTGTTTGCTGATCTTCCAAATTGGTCAGGGCTGGCCTTTCTCTGATTTTTGTCTGAGCAGCAGGTTGGCCAGGGCTGAAACCACTTTAAACGACCGTAGACCAGCAAACCATCTTAGGCTGGTTTAGCAGTGCAGTTCATTGAAGTCATCTCGTTCATTACAGTCTGTGGAGATTTACATTTTGACAGTTTGATATTGTTAATTTTAAACACGAATATAATTCCATTGTATTTCTTTGAGGACGGCGAATATGCAAATACTGTGAAAGGAAAGGTGGGGCGGACAGCTCAGCAAGACGCGCTTTTGCATGGTTTGACAGGAAGTAATGGAGGAGAAGGAGTGAGAAACAAAATTGCAGGATTTAATAGAGCGTAGCTATGTTCTTTGTGTAGGCGTGCACTTTTTCTTTCAATGTTCTTTTACTTTTTTCAACCAAAAATATTTCATCATTTTAGGTTTTGTGACAACGAAAGCCACTAAACGTTAGTTTCGATTTCTGCATATAGAAACTAAGGTGCCATTTGTACTACACGGATGGGTTTGTGTTCAAATTTACAGCCATGTCATTTTTTTATGTTTGTGTGTTTCTCTATCTATACTTACAGTGCTTATATTTTGTCTGAACTTATTAGACAATATGAGTCTGAAGGAAGAGCCTGAAAGGTGCAGTTTTAAAAGTCTTGTTTACCTATTCTATTGTTTTGAGGTATCACCTACCTGAGTTCTGTAACATTTGAAGCAAATTATGTATTAGACCTACGTTTAGTTGAAAATGGTTTCGTTAATATATGAAATGGTAATTCTTGTAAATTCTTTAAACACAACTCATGATGAATCCATATTTATTTGCAGCGAATCCAAAAGAAAGAGATCAGAATCACCCGAGTTCACATCCACAATACATGAACACACAGACCTCAGCAAAGAAAGTGATCATGAACACAAAAATAAAAGGTAAATCTTTATTTATCTTTGTGTGTGCCTGCTCACAATTATTTTGGGGACAAATTCGTACCTGGGTCCTGTA